GCCTGCTGACGGAGGACGAGAGATCAGCGAGTCTGGAAGGGAGTTCAGCTGTCCAGTTTGAAAAACAAACCACTTGCATAGCTAGGGAGGTCTGGAGAGGAGATCCGCTTCGGAGCGTGGAGCCTGCCGCGGGGACGGGCAGGCGTTTGTGCTGAAGCGATGCCCGAGGAGGTTGGGCAGGAGCAGGAGTTAGGGAAACACTAGGCGTAAGGAAACTCCAGTGTCCCATTTCTGTGACGATGACCAAACCGAGCCAGTCACAATGTCCCCGCAGCTGGCTGCACTGCTGAGGGACACCGCGTCAGTGGGGTCGCTGCTATTTACGTACTCACACCGATTATTTACCTGTCAATAAAACCTCGTCCAGCCTCTAAAGGGAACGGATTTTTTTTAACAGCTGCAGATTTTTTTTTAATGCTTTCTAAAAAAAAAATAATAATAAAAACAAAAGAGGAAAAAAAATTAAATTGCCAAAAGAACAAACCCAGGAAGATGAGCCGTTGTCTGTGAAGTGATACATCACTGTAGTGGCTGGGGGGGGGGGCCGCCGTGTCCAGCTGCCTTCCCGTCCATCTGTCAAACCGCACACGTGAGGCAGCGTGGGCTGCTTCATCTGCTGCCTTTGTCCTGCGCTGACCGCGCCGGGCTCCCTGGAGCCTGCTGCCGCCTCCCTCGCGCACCTCCCCACGCTGGGTGCGGGCTGCCTGCCCTCAGGCCTGCTGCAAGAGCGCGTTTTTGCCATGACCTCGAACCATGCAGGACCTCAGCTCATAGGGACTGAGAGACTGCAACAAAAACGCAGGGTGCTGGGGGTAGGCAGCCTCCCGCGGGCTGTGCTGCGGGTGGACGTTGTCCTCACCTTCTGCTTTCCGAGTGTTCCTCCTCCCCGCGGGCATTTCTCTGTGGGCTGCGTCCCTTCCCCAGCAGGACGTGCTTTTGCCCTGGCACAGTGTTGCCTGTGGGCTGAGGCTTTGCTAGGGGTTTCCGTCCCAAGGCGCAGCGGAAGCTGGGACGTGAGAGGTGATGAAGCCAGCCAGGTTCTCTGTCCCCCTCGGGCAGCGAGGCGTCCTGTGAGATGGAGGAGAGAGACTTTTTTAGGTGTCTCACACTGTTGGCTTGGCTCCGGCTGCACTTGTTTTCACTTTGTACACCTTGCTGCTGCCAGGGGTGCTCGGGGTGCCAGGAGGAGGCAATGCTCTGATGAGGGGACAGCGTGACAAGCCGCAGGTCTGGGTGGCTCTGGGTGCTGCAGCTGTGGCCTTGTGCTCTGCAGGCTTCCCGAGGCGTGCCTGGGAGGAACTGGGAGCAGGCGGCAGCTGGCGTTCGGGGAGCAGACATCGCTGGCACTTAGGGCAAGGGACTGAGGTTTTGGATGGAGTTCTTTTGGGTCCCACCCCTGTGGGCAGGCCAGGCTCTGCGAGCATTTCCAGAAGGCACTTTCCGAGGGCAGTGATGCTTTTGAACTTTTTTTTTTTCCGGTCTGATCCCTTACCCTTGGGTTTTTAAAGGCTTGGGGAACCCGCTTTGCCCTGCTTGGTGAGTCCCGCTCTGCGCAGGGGCCGCCCGGGTTCTGTTGGGCAGGGCGGTGGTGGTGTGCTCTGTTAAGCCTTCTCCCGCTGACGGGGAGCGAGGGGTGATTAGGCGAGAGCATGGTCGCTGCTGGATCCAGTGCCTGTCGCAGCTCACCACGTGGGCTGCTTCACTGACTCTGATGGCGTGAAGCCCTCTCCCAGCACAAGGGCAGCCTACTTGGCCAGGGACTGGGTATTCCCTCCAACCCGCGCAGGGGAGGAGGACGTGGTCCCAGGCCTGGCGGCACGCTGCTGAACACAACAGATTGTCTGGCTGCGACACTCTGCTGCGTCCCGCAGGCAGGTCTGCCTGCCGTCTGCTAGCCCTTGGCTGCGGCAGAAGCTCGGCTCTAGTTTGAATGTCATCGCGTCCATCGGCCCGTGCGGTTCCGGTTGACCTGAGCTGGTGCTCTGGGGCTGTGTAGCGTTGCCTAGCAGCGGTAGCGTGGGAGATGGTGTGTAAGCACATCCCTTCTTTTTCTTTAGTGAGGCTGTTTCGTACAAAAAAGCTTTTTAAAGGAAATTAGTCAGTGTGTGATTTCTTCTGTGAGTCTCACGCTGGTGTGACAAGAGTGGTTGGGCTGGATTCCTGCGCCGGGAGCTGCCCGCAGCTTGGGCAGCACTCGGTGCCGGAGCGTATTGGTGCTGCCGAGGTGGGGCGGGCTGACCGACTGCAATAACTTTGTTTGCTGGGGGGTGAGGGGGGAACCATCACTGTGCTCCTCTTTGTATTTCAACCTACTGTAAAGAAACAAACGGTAGCTAGGACAGGATTTCCAGGGTCCTGCCTGTCAAATGTGTGTTGCCCTACTCCGTGTGTGTGTACGTGTGAGAGAAACACTTCTGCTCGTTGCATTTCGTGTTGGTTTGTGTTTGGTTCTAAGTTTATACAAGCGAATTCACTGGGAAACTCTGTACGCCTGAGACCTGAGGGCTTGCGTCTCTGCAGGGCTTCTGCCCTGTGGAAAGCTGCTGTTGCTCTGAGATGCCTCTGCCGTGTGAGGAAACCTCGCGGCTCCTCAGCCTCGTCCTGCTGGCAGCGGCAGGCTGGGCCTGCCCGCGGAGGAGGGCTGTGGTGCTCCCCAGCCTTGCGGGCGAGGGTGGACGTGCGAGTTTGGTGGTGTTGCTCCGCTGGCGGTGTTGTGCCTCTGTTGTTTCTCGTGTATCACGTGGAGCCACTTTGTGCAGCCGTTTCTGTCCCCGACGGGAGGAGAAACAGGGAGATAAATGTCAAAGCATGTGTGTGGCTCAGGCTGTTTTGGGAAGGGGGTTTGCATCTGGTGACATGTATGAGTGACCGATCTCAGGTCTCCCACCCTCCCAGCTTCCCCAGCAGTTTCCCAGGGGACTGTCACACAGGAAGCCCCACTGGCCGGAGGGGTCCGGGCTGTGGAGCCGGGGAGAGCTGCCAGGCAGAGATGGGCCCTGTGCCTGCAGAGCTGCGCCAGCCTGGTGGGCTTAGATGATGGCGTGCGAGTTGGTGAGTACTAAAGGATGGCTTAGAGCAGAGACAGCACTGCCTCATGTTCGGCTCTCAAGGGTTTTGGCGAGGAAGGTGCAACTCAAGTGAAGAAACGCAGTGGCGTTACCTCGCCCACTTGTGTTAGATGGGGCTTGCTGTGGAGCTGTGTGGTCTGACAGTGAAGGCAGGGGCTGGAGCAGGCAGCATCTGAGCTCATCTCTGGCCTGGAGCCACTTTGAAGGTGGTGTCCCCCCGGGCTCCCTGTCCCTTTGTGTCCCAGCTCTCCCCCTGCTCCCCGCAGAGCTCGTCTCGCCCGCTCCCCTGGCTGTGGCTGCTCAAAGCAGCCGGGTTCTTTTCCAGCTGCTTGCGGGCAGAGGGCCTCCGCCTCACTCGGAGGTGAGGTCTCAGGAAAGGTCTGGTTGCTGTGCTGGGCTCTGCAGCGCTGACCTAGTTTAGCAATGCTAACGAGCAGATGAAAGATGGAAGGTTTTTGTGGCGTCGTGTTGTACCTTGAGCGCTTCCTGGTCCTCCAGATTGAGTTTCCCGGAGACAAAGGCTCAGCCTTGGCCCTGCCACCGGCGTTCGATCAGCTGCCGGCTCTGCTGCAGCGCCGGCGACTTCACGGGCACCGTGGGTGGCTGTTGGAGCTCCGCGCTGCAGTTTCCATCCAGTTCAGTTGTTACCGGTTACATCTCAGCGGTGACTGCAGAGTCCTCCTTAATTACACATGAGTTTGGGGAGAGCCACTCTCTCCTGGCTGTGTTTTGCTGCTTTAATTAGCACACGCCTGTGGCTTTATCCTGCAGGGAGGGCAGGGCTGGGTGGCTGGGAGGTTCCTAGGGCTGGAGGAGATGTGCTCGTTTGCTTTTTTCCACCATCAAGCTCAGAATTACGCTGCCCTGTGCTTCCCTGCAACTGCAGCCAAGACCTCGTTGCGTTTCTCGCCGGCAGCGTGCGCTGGGGAGCCGGGGTGGAGGGCGTTGTACCTGGCACCTCCAAGTTAAAGAAGAAAATCCTGGTGAGCAGCAGCAGAGCTGGTGGCCTCACCCTACTGCCTGGTGTGCCAAGGGCAGGGGAAGGCTGGGATTAGGGCAGTCCCGCCGTGCAGCGGTAAAGGGTTGGGGGCCCTGGAGCTCTCTTGAAGCTACGTTGGACGCAGCACCTCTGTCCCCTTCGTTCAGGGGGTCTCAATCTCGTAAGGTGGCTGTGTGGTGACGTTTTGGTGTGATGCTCCCTCCGGGCTTGCCTGGCAGGGAGGAGGCCAGAAAGGAGCAGCGGCATCTCCCAGAGGTTTGGTGGAGCCTCTTCAGGGAGGTTCTCGTGGGAGATGCTCCTGCAGGGTCACTTGGCTGCTTTGGGACAGACTGGGGGAGAAGGGGACATGCCACTTGGGAAACAGCAGTCACTGCCTTTGTGACAGGAGAGCACTGGTGTGGGGCCACATCCAGCCAGCCGCTGCTTTCGCCTTGGCCGGGGGGTTGCCGGAGCGTTGCCTGCCCGGCTGCGTCCGTGCTGTGCGAGCGGGGGTACCGCGTGCGGTGGGGCTGCGTGCCGCCAGCCTTGGCCGGACTGCGGCGTACGAGGGGGCGTTACCAC